GTATTTTTGTCAATTTAGGGTGCGGTATAGTGAATTTGGGTGAGGTATTTAATGATTCAGTTCCAATGTTGCTGGAGTCAAGTTCTTAGCATTTAGTACAGTAACTCAATTTATTTGTGTTTTGACTAAATTAAATTATAATTTTTTCCGCTCAATTTTTGCAATTAATATAGAAGAAACCGTTACATTCTACAATAATTAAGTGTAATACTATTTTTTAAACTTTTTTTAGTATATAATAGTCACTACTAACATTAAATAAATATAAATTTACGTTAAATCGTACATGAAATTTACATACTTATCAATTATTTTATTGCAATTTTTTCCTTTAAAATATTTATTTTACCATAAATATTATTTTCTGATTTTATTAAACGATTTTTCTGTAATATTAGTTAATTAATTTTAGTTGCATAATGAGACCACTTAAAATCATATAAATAATTGATAGCAATAATAAAAATAATTATAATATTTTTCCAACCAATTAATTGGTTATGGTTCCTCTAAATTGTAAAAAGTATATTATGTATTATTACATTTCATATTATCAATATAATGATTCAATTGTAAGTTAAATAATTTATATTTATATAGTTTATTTGCTAGTTGTCAAAAATTTAAAATATGATGCATCCATTATAGTATTTAAAATTTTAAGCATGAACGAGTAATTGTATAGAGTAAGACAAGAAAGTACAATCAGTTACCGCTTCATTGAAGTAGTGATCTAACCACTTTAGTTTTTCACATAATTTTAATCTAAGTATCTCATTTGAGTAAGTGACATGAAAAATTATAGAAATATATTTTTACACAGATGAAAATATATTTGTGATTGTATTGTGATGCATTTAAAATAAAAAAAATAATGATTAAAATTGATGATATAAAAGTAATAAATATTAATTGATAAGATCAATTGTTAAACTTATATGAATAGGTGGGTGAATAGTTTTTTTTTTCATTTGTTGGGTTGTAGAGAAAAAATTGAGAC